TGAGCCACCCAGTCTATGGTATTTTGTTATAGCAGCTGAGCTGACTAATATATTCACTCTATGATGTTAGCTATCACAACCTGACTAACGTGCAGTGCACAGCACGCACAACTGTGGCTCTATTTACCATATATTATAACATACATTATATTAGCACCATGTTCACAATACCCCTGTGTGAGAGAAAGCTTGTGTTGTAAGTAGCTTGAAAGTAGGATAAGCTGGATAAAACTCATTTCCTGGCCTCAGGGTCTCAAGCTGAGTCCTAACTTCCTCTGAGCCTCAGTTTCCATTTGTTAGCAATATTTTCTAAGCTGGTTAACTCCATTTTCTGCACTAAGTTTAAGAAGACTCAGTTTTGACAATCATTTTTATCTACCATGAAGAAATTCGTTTTCATGTTTTTTGCATGTGTTTGACAAGTTCTAAATGTTCAAAAGGAATATTAAGTTTTAATTTCTTTTTTGGCACAAAATACTATAAAAATGTCTGTTACTATTGTGGTGAAGGTGTCTGTGCCTTTGAACCTAAACATTTCTCTTCCTTAAGCCTGAAGTGGTTTGATCCATGAGTCACTTGACAATGACACACAAAGTCACTCATGGGGCACTGGGCCAAGTGACCTCTGTAGAGAGGTCATCATCCTAACTCTAATTTTTATTAACAGCCCCAATAAAGGAAACACAGTTCATGGATCAGATTCACTCATATCAAGAATGGAACTCAAAAAACAATAGTCAAAGGGAGTGAATATGGTCAAAGTATGTTACATGCATGTATGGAAATATCACAATGAAACACCTTTGTACAATCAATGTACACCAAAAAGCAAATAAATAAAAACAGTCAGCCAGACAAGGTGGCTCACCCCTGTAATCCTAGCTACTCAGGAGGCAGAGATCAGAAGGATGGTGATATGAGGCCAGCCTGGGCAAAAAGTTCTTGAGACCCTATCCCAACAAAAATCTGAGTGTGGTGGCATGCACTTGTCAAAGCAGCTAATTAGAAAGTGTGACCTGGCCATAAATGACAAGATTATATTTTTAAAAATACCAAAAGCATAAAGGACTTTAGGTAGAGTGTCTGCCTAGCAAGTGCAGGGCGTTGAGGTCAAATCCCAGTACTGCCAAAACCAAAAAAAGTCAGTAAGAATTCCTGAGCAATCAAACTCATTAATAGTAATAATGATAACAGCTAAAATACATGGAGACTTACTGTGGGAGCCATTGACTAAGATTTTATGTGCACTGTCTCAGTGACCTTCTATATCAGATACCACTTACAGAAGAGGAGACTGGGGCACAGGAAAGTTAAGTAACTCACACCAGGGCAGGAAGGGGAAGAGAGGTTTGATATGCATCATGGGACTAGACTGCTGTGTTGTACTGTCTCCCATTCAGGATCCCTAATGCCTATCTTCCAGGCCTTGGCTTTAGTTAAGGTGAGTCCCTCTCCTATCTTCTGTAACAAGTGACCTGATATGGAAGGTTTCCACACACTTCTAAGTGACTCCCAAGTATTCTTTCTATGAGCAGAATTCCTTCTGAAGCCATGCTGGTGTAGAAAAACAATTTACATGTTCTTAACTTAAAAAGAGAGAAAATACCCTTCCAAATCATTTGAATCAACACTAGTATAATGAAGCCAAGTCTGCACAGCCAGCACCTTGGAAAGAGAACACTGTCTTCTCAAGTCTATACTACAGAAATATTCAGCTAGAAGCCAAATGGAGATACCGCCTTTTCTCCAAACAGTGTGCCAACCAAACTTTCTAGACACTAGCTGCTCCTGCTCTTCGCCCTTCCAAAGGCACTGGCTGTCCCTGGGGACCCTGAAACTCATCACTTGTGCAGGTGAGAAGCAGCCTCCAGCAGTGGGAGTGCTGAAGATCCATGTTTCTTCTGAGTACTCTGGATACTTCTAGAAAGTAGCAGCAACACATCCAGAAGTTTGCAAAGTTTGCTCAAGACAAGGAAGGACAAGACTGTGACTCAGGAGGATGGATAGGCAAAGGACATTTTGAGCTTGTTTACAGACTCAGAGGCATTGGCAGGGAAGATGCAGTAGCATATACGGTGGTGTCCTCCTTTTTCCAAGGTTTTACTTTTTCCAGTTTTAGTTACCTGTTGTCAACCAGGGTCCAAAAATATTAAATGGAGAATTCAGAAATACATCATCTGTAAGTTTTAAATTATGCACAGTTTTGAGTAGTGAGATGAAATCTCACACTGTCCCACTCCATCCTGCCCAAGACACGAATCATCCCTTGGCCCAGCGATTCACACTAAATACACTACTCATCCGTTAGTCATTTAGTAGCTGTCTTGGTTATCAGATTGGCTGTTGCTATATAGCAGAGCTTTTGTTAAAAAAAAAAAATGTAGTAGCCAATGCTAAGTCACAATGCCTAAGGTCTTTTATCTCATCTCATCATACAGATATTGTATCATTTCACATCATCTCAAGAAGAAGGATGAGGGGCTGGTGGAGTGGCTCAAGTGGTAGTACCTAGGAAGCATGAGGCCCCCAGTACTGCCAGAAAAAAAAGATTAAAAAAACTTTTTAAAGAAAGAAGGGTGAATACAGTACAATAAAATGTTTTGAGAGAGATCACAGTCACATAACTTTTATTATAACATATTATTATAACTGGTCTATTTTGTTATTAGTTATTGCTATTAATCTCTTACTATGCCTAATTTATAAATTGAATTTTACTACAGGTATGTACATAGGAAAAAGCAGTGTGTTTAATAGGGCTCAGTACTGCCCTTTGTTCCAGCCATCCACTAGGGGGTCTTGGAACATATCTGCAGAGAACAAGAGATGACCCTACTGCATAAGGAGAGAGGAGGAAATTGATAGAAAAAAGTCTGGGGGAAAGTGAAGGATTTGCCTCAGTGCTTAAAAGAAAGAATTCAGCCAGACACTAGAAGCTCATACCTGTAATCTGAGCTACTTGGGAGTCTGAGCTTGGAAGGATCACCATTCCAGGGCAGTCTAAGCACCTGTCATTCTAGCTACAGCAGGAAGCATAAAATAGGAGGATAGCAGTCCTTGCTGACCTGGGCAAAAAACAAGACCCTATCTCCAAAATAGCCAGAGTAAAAAGGGCTGGAGGTGTGACTCAAGCAGTAGAGCACTGCCTACTAAATGGGAAGCCCTGAGTTCAAACCCCTGTACTATCACTCACATGGGAGAAGTACACCGCGTATTTATTTATTTATTAGAGACAAGAATAACGATGAGTGGAAATACACTTGTTCAGGAGGAGAGGAAGATATTTATGTCAGGTAGTTTAATCTCAGAAAGAAAGAGAGGGTTGAAGTTTGGATAAAGAAAGCTTAGAGAGGATGGAAAGTGTTTAGGACCACAAGTCAACAAGAACAGGCTAAATGGATCACCAAACAGAAGTTACTGCTGCGTTAAGCAAAAGGCATCCTTTCAGCTACAATGACTATTAGAAAATAGTCACCAAGGCAGAGGACACAGGTTCACACCCTCACCACTGACCTGTGTCAAGCCCCCCACTCCAACTTGTCTTCTGATCTCTCAAACTGAAACCTAGTCATCCTGTGGTTTCTGTGACCTTGGCTTGCAAGACAATCCAAGGTCCTTAGCATGCCAGGAAGGTGTTTCCCCAGCTGACCCCACTTAAGGCTCCAGGGTCATTATTTGCCTTCTGCCATACTGAACTAACTGCAGTTCTCGAAGGGTCCTAGAACTTTCTGATGCTCTGGCCCTTGGATCGATCACACGGTTCCCATTGTATGTTTTTTCCTTTCAATGTCTGGAGAGCAAGCACTCATTTTTTTAAAGGTTGTTTCCTCCAGGAAGAAGCAACCGAAGGCCGGGCGCCCATGGTTCACACCTGTAATCCTAGCTATTCTGGAGGCAGAGATCAGAAAGAGTGAGGTTAGAAGCCAGCCAGGGCAAATAGTCCATGAGACCCTATCTCAAAAAAAAAAATAACCCTCACAATAAAGGGCTGGTGGAGTGGCTTAAGGTATAGGCCCTGAGTTCAAACCCCAGTACCACAAAAAAAAAAAAAAAAAAACAACCGAGCACTTCAGATTTCATCAATTCTAACTAAAACGCACATTTTTTCACATCCTAAAAAAACCCACAACATTAGAATGTCACTTACAATCAACAGTTTGTCACCATTGAATTGACAGGATTTTAAAATTTCTTGGTACCCCCATTAGGCAAATATCTGGAGACGTTTTTGCTTGTGTTAACTTGCGGGAGGAGTGTACTACTACTTTCCAAATGACAGAGACTAGAGATGCTACTAAGCATCCTACAGTGCACAGGACAACCCACTAACAAAAATTAGCCAGCCACAAATGTCAGCGGTGCTGAGGTTGAGAAACCCTGGTGTAAAAAAGCAATACTTATTTGGATGTATAACATACTTCATTATGTTTGATTGAGATTAATCTTGTACAGTACATAATGTCACTTAATACATAGCATTTTTTTCCCCCAAACCTTGGCTGGCAAAGCAAAAATAGCAACTCTGAAGACTGCTCCAAGCCTTCTTCAACACCTCTCCCTGTCTTCCTCCTCTAACCCCCAAGGGAAGGACTGGGGCAGAGCTCCTGCCAAAATCTGAAAGCCAGAAGGTCTCCAAGAGACTTGATTAGCTGATGGCAACTCTTTAAGTCTCTTTGGGGAATTGGATTTATGCAATAATTGTGGTTCATAAGTGTGAAGAAACTTTAAATAAAAGTAGATGGTTTCATCATACAAAAAAATGCAGAAGGGGCTTGAGATGTATATTTAAGGCTCTGAAGGAAGGGTCATTAGTTTGGAGGGGGAGAGGGCCCCGTGGGTCCAGCCCCCAGCTGCCCAAGTCCCCAGAGTGTTGTTCTTCCTGGAGGCTTAACAACACTGGGCACCCCGCCTCTCCCCCGCCCTCGCCCCCGCTATCCTGACCCCGTCTCCATTCTGGGGACCCTCCCTTGGCGCCCCAGGGGATCGCGAGACCAATTCACCTTCAGATGGATGGGGAAGGACCGCTCCTGCTCCAGAGGCCCCAGCAGCGTCTGCTCCACGCTCACCAGCTCTGAGGTCGAGTCCACCACGCGGGCCAGCGCGCTGCGCATCGCCATCCGAGCCAGGGTGCAGGGCCCGCGATCCCGGGGGAAGGGCAGCAGCTCCGCGCCCCCCTCAGCACCCCGCACCACCTCCACCTCAGGAGAGCTCGCCCGAGCCCTGGCTGCCCTATTCCTGACCCCTCCGTCCCCGCCCCGATCCTCGCATCGGGGTCCTGGCCGGGCCCTCATCGGGCCTGAGCGACAGGCGGGGGCGGAAGGCACGTGGTCCGGGCTTCGCGGGCTCCCGGGGGCCCCAGGACAGTCCCCCCAGCCCCGCTCCTGTTGCAGCAGCTGTAGGGTCTGCAGAGCCACCATTTGGTGGCTGATGGAGGCCACTAAGGGCGCGGGGCTGGCCATCGCCTCTGTTGGCAGCTTAGCGCGGCTCAGCGAGCAGGTGGAGCAGGAGCGAGGGAGGCGGGGGCGTTTGGAGTCACCAGGGTCACATTTCCTAACTCAGATCCTGGGATCCGAGTCTCTCAGCGTGTGTGGCCAGCCCTGGCCCGGCCTGCAGTCGGTGACCCGCGCTGGCCCCTGCATTCGTTTCAAGTCCGATGGGCTTTTTTTTTTTTTTTTCTGACCTAGGGCTGCTTGAAGCGCTGCACGCTGTGCAGTTGGATATCAGCCAAATGCTGAGCGCTGCTTCTTCCTTCTCTCCAAGGATTTAATAGGAAAGCGTGCTGCTTTGTGTGGATGCATCCATCAGCAGAGATACCCACCCCCTTCTCCTGTGAAGGATGTCTGTCAAGGACTACTTAAACCTGGGATGGGGGATGTAAAAGATCCATCCACGAGTGAAAATGCAAAGGACCCAGCAAAACTAGCAGAAGGAAGTTGCTGGATCCTCCTCCCTTCCCGTCCCAAACCTAAGGGCATTTTCAGAAACTTATGAGTAGCCTTCAAGATCTTGCATCCCCCCAAACAAAAGAGGTGGATTTGTGTGTCTCAAAGTTCTGCCCTTCTTCGGTTTTGTTACATCCCCGGTGGGCACCAATGGCCAGTCTGCAGAAGTGACATCATTGTGCAGCAGGCAAGACCAGTCCCTGAAGCCCAGGCCTGGCACTGTCCAGATGAGAAGCCTGAATAGTTTTGTATGAAATTCCCAAAGGACTCAAGCACAAGGTTGAAATAAATCCTTTTATGAGCCATGAACCCGGGGACAGCTGTACAAATAGTTGCTGTTTTTAATTAAACCTAATATGGCCACTTCCTTATGTTAGGGGAAAGAACTGGCAATTTTATGCTTTAGAGATTCCAAACCAATGGTGGATGATCACACTTAAAAAAAAAAAAAAAGAAGAAGGGTTGGGCATGGTGATTCAACCCTGTAATCCCAGCTAGGTGAGGTCAAAGTAGAAAGATCATGGGCCCAGGTGGGGCTGAGAAAAAAAATGCAATACCCTATGTGAAAAATAACTAAAGCAAAAAGGGCTGTGGGCATGTCTCAAGTTTTATGGTGCCTGCCTAACAAGCACAATGCCCTGTCTTCAAACCTGGGTACCAGCTCCCCATGCCTCCAGGGAAACAAAAAGACATTTGAGGGGAAGAGTATGAAGATCTTCCCGTGAGGAAAACCATTTAGAGATCCCCCCAGCCCAGTAAATGGGTGAGGGTGAGAGAAGGTGCTGAAGCAAGAGATGAGTGGGCCGTGGTAGACCTGTGGGTAGGACTTCATTCTTTCTTTAGAAGTGAGAGTCCAGTGGAGTCGGATCTGGAATCAGACATGGGACTCTTTGAATGGAAGAGCCACTCCAGTGTACCTACTGAAACTCTTCTGTACTAACTGGAAGAGATAAGGGTAGGGACTCAGGGTCCCTTAAGGTTTCTCTCACTCTGGAATAGAATGACCCCACATAATCATCCCCACCCTCCAGCAAAGGTTCCTTCTCATTCTCAGTGTTTTCTTCGCCTATGAAAACAAATCAGAATGCCAAAGTAAAGAAAACCTTTCTTAAGCAAAAACGGGTAAGTTCACACTAATTATAACTGAGTAAAAATGCATGGCTGTGCATTGACAGAGGAAATTACTTTGGAGGGAAGTAAATAGTTTAATGTTGATTAGGATCTGTAGCCATAAAGTCACTTAAGTTCATAATAAAAATACAGTAATTCTTCCTTTTTCATTTATTTTTTTTTAATCCTCAAATGTTGAAGTACGTTGGGTTCAGCAGAGACTCACTAGGGTTGGTTCGGCACAAACTAACCCTTAATTTTCACAGAGCATGTCGGATCTCCAGGGCTGCTCCTCTTTCCAGATACACAGGAAATCCAGTTTCATGGGCTAACCCTTCCACTATCAAATGGCTGACTGCAAAACTTTCTTGACAGATGGAATTGCAGCCAACAGCAGAATTGAAATCATTACACAGAGCCTGCCTGACCTGAGGCCCCCCCCTTCTACATAGTATGCTCATCCTGAGAGCCATGAGACCAAATGAACTTCAAGGGGGGGGGTGAGAGATGAGGGCCAGGAAAACCATGGGGCTGGAGGGATGGTACATATTGTTTAAAGGATCAGCCTGATTGGTCCAATGTCCTTAGGAAGCACTGGATCATCCAGCAATTCAATGCTTTATCTGTCTTAACCATGGGGTCACATTCTTATTTGCAGTAACTGCAAAATGGCTTGTGGCCCAAAGCTGGAGACATGAGAATCTGAGGGGAACTGAGATATTTCAATAGCATAGCACATCTGCCTTTGGTCTAAAAACACCTTCAAAGTTACATGTGCTGGACCAAGTAACAAATTACTCACCTCTTACCCAAAATCTGAGGCCACTGTAGTGTAACAAAAGGCTTATTCATATGGACAAAGTATTGCAAATCTGATATTTGTGCTTCACAGCCTCTATCTCACTATCTTATGGAAACATTCTCATTACCCAGTGAATAGTCCTCATCCACCACACTCAGTCCATGGGGTCATATGGGATGAACCCACTCCACTCCAGAAGGGCCCTGGGTCTTCCAGGCTGAGGTCAATCACACATCACATCTCCACAATGAATGGCCAAGATTTGGTCCCATGAACCAACTAGAGCTGGCAAGACACCATTGTTTAAGATGATTTCAGCTGGATGTATTGTAAAATAGAACTAAAGAATGTAGGATAAGAGATAGCACAGCAAAAAGAGATCAAATTTTCATTCAAAAAGAAAACTTCAACATAAAATCATTTAGTTAATAACAATAACGTACTGTCCCACACCACAAAAAGTCTGAAGGCAGGGTGGCTCCTGGATTGGTTAATATTGCTGCTCAACAATGTCATGAAAGCCCTTGGTTTCTCCCATACTTCTGCTTTGCTATTCCCAGCACGTCAACTTGGTCCTTGATCCTTGGGCTAGTAGTTCTCCTATGGCCACCAGATAGTGGCAGTAACTCTTGATATCACATCTGAACAATAGCCTCTAGAAGAGGTCATCTTGTCCTTAGTGTTCCTTCGCAAGAGCAAAGAGACATTTCCCAACTCTTCAGCCCACATTGCCTTGGCCAAAATTATACAGCATGTTTGAATTGATTCAATCATAGTCAGAGGAAAGGGACTGCCACAGGAGCCTTAGGTGACCGAGAATTCAATCCAGGCGGTAGGGCTGTATCTATCTTCCCCTGAAACACATGGAGGATGGAGAGCACTTCATATGAATCAAGGTTCAGTAACCAGAAATGGCAACAATCGAGCACAATGGGGCTTTGGCAGGAGCTCTGGGTAAAGAACACCTCATATCTCCAAGGTTGTTCCTTTTTCCAGATCCACAAGAAATTCAGTTTTGTGAGGCTAATCCTTCCACTATAAATGCTATTGTAATGACTCGTGTGCAAGTGAAACAGAAGATACAAGTTTAAGTTCAGGAGCCTTTGTAGCCATATTCTGAGTTTGAGTGGAGAGTCTTCCTATAAGCGAGCCAGAGAGAGAGAGAAAGAGAGAAAGAGAGAGAGAGAGAAGCCAGTCTTCATATAGCACCATTTGAGCTCAAAAAGACAGCCCACCTCTGAACTTCTCAGTTATACAAGTCAATAAAATTCTTTTTGTTTGAGCTGCTTGGGATTGGGCTACTGCCCCTTGCAACAGAATCGAAATGGAAATAGCATGGCATATATCACAGGAAAGATAGCATGTTAATGGAGTGACCCTGTGAACCAGTGTCCCTTAGGCAAAGCACTTCTAAGTCCCTCCAACAAACCACTTCCAACAATACTTTTTGCCATTCATCTAACCTTTCTACTCTTTCAACCACTGCCTTAAAAGCACTTTGAGTGACTCTGGTCACTTCTGACAGTTTGTGGGAATATTTAAAACTGAGCATCAGAAACATTTAGACCCTGTGTGGTGGGGAAGGGAAATAGAAGGGGGTAGAAATCTCAGTGAAGTGAGAAACAACTTTCCACCTGTGAATGGACAAGGTAGAGTGTCATTAGATAAACAAGGATTCTGGCACTTCTCTTAGTCCAAAGGTTCCTTTTCCACATGAGCAAAAGATGTGAGGCCTTGTGTGGAATGGTTGAGAAGGCGGGCACGGCAAGAATAGAAGGGATCTGGCAGGAGGCACAGCTATGTGGAGCCTTCCTCAAAGGATTTGGCAGAGCCCAGATACATTTGAGCCCTGCTTATATTCTTTGGCACTTTTCTCCAAAAGGGATCCAAGAGAATTCCAGAAATGGAGCTGTTAGCCTTCAACACACCCTGGTGAAGTTCATGGGTGGGAGCAATACAAAACATGTCCAAAGAGTTATTATTCTTGAATAAAAATTAGGATTGAAGAGAAAAAGATGCCGAAGAGATAAAGTACTGTAAAAGAGAAAACAATTGAGCTTGGAAAAGATATGGGCCCAGAGAAGAAAAAGCAAAAATGATCAAATTCCCTTTTTCTAAACATACAATTGTAATGTTTGAATATGCCAAGTCATAAAAATGTATATGAAGTTCTAACTTTGGCCTAAACATTTGCTTTTCAGAAAAAAAAAATGATGCAACCCTGCCATGAAACTTCTGAATTGCCAAAAACAATTGTTTACATAGGACAGTGTGCTTTCAGGATATCATATGTGTACTGCCTTCCCAGACTTTATTAAGCTGGTGAAACTAAGTGAAGCTTTGTGAAGCTAGTGAAGAAAAATAGGAAATCGTAGGTAAAGAGAGGCTTTAGAATATGAAATGTCCTTCATAAGGCTCACATTTTAAAGGCTTGGTCCCCAGCTGATGGATCCAATCATTGAAACATGGATGGATCATGAGGGCTCTGATCTAACCAATGGATTAATCCATTGATGAATTCATAATTGAATGGTAGACATTGTGGAAGGTGGGACCTAATTGGACGATGTAGGTAGCTGTGTGTGTTCTTGGGGCTTATTTCTTGTCCTTAACCCCGTCCCCTTCCCTACCCTCTGCTTGCTGGCCCCCATGAGGTGAGCAACTTTGCTGTGCCACAACTTTCTGCCATGATGTTCTACCTCAACACAGGCCCAGAAGGACAAAGCCAAGTGACCTTGCATTGAAACCAAAGCCAAAATAAATCCTCCCTTAAG